ACATAAACCTACTTTCCTAGACCTACACTCTTGAGGAACCATGGTGGTTGGTTTTTAGGTGATAACTTAGTATTTTCCTTTTTTCTTTTTAGTTTAATTTTGAGAGGGAGAGATCTACAGAATGCAAGCCAGGGAGGGGCAGAGAGAGAGAGAGAGAGAGAGAATCTGAAGCAGGTTCCAGGCTCTGAGCTGTCAGCGCAGAACTTGACATGGGGCTTGAACTCACAAACCATGAGATCATGACCTGAGCTGAAGTCTGACACTTAACCCACTGAGCCACCCAGGCGCCCCAGTATTTTCCCTTTCTCTTAGGAAAGGTTTCTTGTGAACATGTTTGCCTCTATTCTTGAGTCTGGGGTGAAATAAGGGTTGTGTTTTTGATCCAGTTTGGGTTAGAAGTTGAAGGAGACGATACATGGTCTCGGTCTGGTTCAAGTGAGGGAGCCCAAAAATCCCTCTCGGTGAAGCTTGGGTCCCACCTAAATGATAGAGATGGGGCTCTCGGAGCTCTCTTTCTGTTGTGTGTGCTTTGCAAGATGTGTCTCCTCTGCTCTCGAACAAAGGAGGCCCTTCTAGGCCACAAGATCGGCAGCCTCTGCTTTCAGTGCTGGTCTTATTGTCGTGGAAACCCATCCCCGCTTCTGGGCCAGAACAGGAGACTCTCAGGTTTTCTTCTTCTTTCAGACCCACTCCCCTCCCAAAAACCAAACGCTCCTTCCAACCTCCGAGTAGATGCCCCCATGACGGCAGAAGAGAGGCCCTACGCCTGCATCGCCCAGTTAGCAGACGAGAGCCACATGTGGTCATTTAAATTTTAAATGAAATGAAATTTAAAAATTTAGTGTCTTAAGGTGCCTGGGTGGCTTAGTTGGTTAAAATACCCAACTTCAGCTCAGGTCATGATCTTGTGGTTTGTGGGTTTGAGCCCCACGTCAGGCTCTGTGCTGACAGCTCAGAGCCTGGAGCCTGCTTCAGATTCTGTGTCTCCCTCTCTCTCTGCCCCTCCCCTGCTTACATGTGGTCTCTCTTTCTCAAAAAGAAATAAATATTTAAGAAATTAAAATTTTAATTTCTGAGGTGCCTTAGTTACACTGTAAGTGCCCAGTCACCCTAGGTATGTTGTATAGGACCGCACAAAACATTCCCATTATGATAGAATGTTCTACTGGGTCCTTGTCAAGGTTCTGTGGGGAGGGGCTGGCAACAGGATTCAAAATTTGTCTTTGTCTTCAGAATCTTCTCCTCGATAACAGGTGGCCCTGTCTTGGCTTGTACAGTTTTCTTGTGCAGCCAGCAAGAGACTGATAATGACAGCCTCTGTTTATTTAGTCCTTAACATATGCAAAACAGTATGCAAAGGGTTCATGATACATTGTCATTTAATTGCCATAGAGCCCTGACAAAGACACTATTATCTCCACTTTAATGATGTAGAAACTGAGGTCCAGAGAAATTGACCATACAAATATTAGCTTATACGAAATTGCCAACGTCCAGCCATTTTTAATTCAACCTCCTAGTGAATGGCAGAGCCAGGGTTCAAATCCAGATCCAAAGACTATGTCAAGTTCAGTGTGGCTGAGTCTCTGTAAGGGACCACCTTGAGACCTACATCATAGGGCTTTTAACGATTTGGTGAAATAATGTTGGTGCTGTGCCTGGTACACAGTGGTGCTCATGGAATGCTGATTTTGTTTTGTTTTGTTTTTTGGTTTTAACTTCCTTCTGTTAGTCCCAGTCTCTTGGAAGAACACAGCTATCTGAGGGGCGCCTGGGTGGCTTAGTCAGTTAAGCGTCCGACTTTCGCTTAGGTCATGATCTCGCGGTTTGTGGGTTCGAGCCCCGCGTCGGGCTCTGTGCTGACTGCCAGCTCAGAGCCTGGAATCTGTTTCAGTCTGTGACTCCCTCTCTCTCTGACCCTCCCCAGCTCGCGCTGTCTCTCTCTCTCTCTCCTAGGAATAAAAAAATAAAAAAAAAAAATTAAAAAAAAAAATCCCAGCTATCTGAGCAGATGTGACAGGTGTGATGGGGAAGGGGTGGCACATTGCCATTTACAAGATCTCTTCCGAGGGACTGGAATGACTCCTCTTCCTCACCAAACTCCCCACCCCCACCTATTCCCATGTCTCTCCATCAGGGCATCTCTTCTGCCTCAAGCCCAGGGGAGGGTGAGGGACATTGGCTGTTCTATTCCCTGTGCCTTTAACAGCCTAGCAGATACACTTCAAAAAACCCATCCAGTGGAGACCTCAGAAGTTTCTGGAAGGCCGAAGGTGGACCCAAGGGGCTTGCTGCTGCCCTGAGCATGTCAGGTGGTTGTGATCCCTGCTCGGACCTCCTGGCTCAGGTCTCCTGCATGCTGGAGCTCTGTTGTCATGATTGTTTTTGGCAAGGAGCCAGGTGTAAAGCTCCAGCTTTTATTTGGCAAAAGGGGAGTGAGTACCCCGGCTGAGTGCCCTGCTGTTTGGATGGGGTTTTCGGACTTGGGAGTAATTTCCATCCACAGGAAGAAATTCTGTGTCTCAAAACCAGGAGTATAGTGTTTGCCGGATCATGAAAACGAGATGCCTGGTTAAATTTGAATTGCAGATAAGCAATAGATAATGTTTCAGGACAGATATATAGGATACAATATTGGGGACATATTTCCACTAAAAACTATTTGCTGTTTATCTGAAATCAAATAGACATGGATGTCCCGCATGTTATCTCACAACCTTAGAATAGTTTCCATCCGCCCTTCAGATGGCAGATCATTTATGATGATGTTAAGGACACTTGGGAATAAGGGAGAGGGAGACCTACATCTAGTTTTTCCATCTGCTCCCTGGAGGCATAGTTGTAGCTCCTTGTGAAGGGATTTAGACTCCTGGTTCTTTTTTTTTTTTAATTTTTAACATTTTATTTATTTCTGAGAGAGAGAGACAGTGTGAGCAAGGGAGGGTCCGAGAGTGAGGGAGACACAGAATCTGAAACAGGCTCCAGGCTCTGAGCTGGCTGTCAGCACAGAGCCTGATGCGGGGCTGGAACCCACAAACCATGAGATCATGACCTGAGCAGAAGTTGGATGCTCAACCGACTGAGCCACCCAGGAGCCCCTAGACTCCTGGTTCTTGAAACGTAGTCCTTGGACCAGCATTGTCAGTGTCACCTGATACTTGGTAGAAATGCAAAGTGCATGTCCCACCCCAGACCTGTGAATCAGGCACTCAGGGGTGGGGCTCAGCAATGTGTGTCTGACAAGCCCTCCAGGTGATACTGACATGGTTTGAGATCTACAGTGTAGACTCTCAATCAGGCAGACCTGGGCTTGAAATCCAGTCCCACCATTTATTTTTATTTTTTAATTAATTAATTTTTAATTTTTAAAAACATTTATTGGGGCGCCTGGGTGGCTTAGTCGGTTAAGCGTCCGACTTTCGCTTAGGTCATGATCTCGCGGTTCGTGGGTTCGAGCCCCGCGTCGGGCCCTGTGCTGACTGCCAGCTCAGAGCCTGGAGCCTGTTTCAGTCTGTGACTCCCTCTCTATCTGACCCTCCCCTGCTCATGCTGTCTCTCTCTCTCTCCTAGAAATAAATAAAACATTAAAAAAAAAAAAAAGTTTAAAAACATTTATTTATTTTTGAGACAGAGATAGAACTTGAGTGGGGGTGGGGCAGAGAGAGAGGGAGACACAGAATCTGAAGCAGGCTCCAGGCTCTGAGCTGTCAGCACAGAGCCCAGGGCGGCGCTTGAACTCACAGACCACATGATCATGACCTGAGCTGAAGTCAGCCGTTTAACTGACTGAGCCACCCAGGCATCCCAGTCCCACCATTTACTGGCTGGGTCAACTTGGCAGAATTACTTAACCTCTCTGAGCCCCTGTTTCTTCTGAAACAAAATAGAAATAGTATACCTTATTTAAGGACGTAGTAAGGATTAAATTATATATTATGAAATACAACCTATGGTGCCTGTTACTGTAAGAATACACAAAATGATTACTCTTACTTTTACCCTACAAATGGAGTTCCAGTTGTGCCCTGAGACCACGTTGATGGTCAGCATGGCAAGCCCCAGTTACAGGGATGATTTCTGTTCAGTTCAGACAAGGCTTTCATTTGCAGGTACTCACTTTCCATTAGTCCTATGGAGGGAGGAAGGAGTTAGGAAGAAAGGGATCAGGGTGAAAAAGGACCAGCATCCAGTGGGGACTGGTCTTCTGACCCACAGACCGAGTGCAAGGGGCCATATTGATTTAATTCCCCTCCTTCAGTGCTCATTTGAGAACGTTGTCCAAAAAGGGAGTTTTTTTGTGTTTTTGTTTTTTTGTGTGTAGAAAGGTGAGGGAGAGGAGGTCCTGAGAGGGGATGACACGTGGGGACACCTGTTGAGGGAGGGCCTTTAGCACACTTTGGTATGTTTCAAAGGGCAAGATCAGTCTAGACCAGGGCTTCTCTGCTTTGGTTCTACCGACTTTTTGCATCAGATAGTTCTTTGTTACAGGCCTGTCTTGTGCATCTGGAGCAGTGTCCCCAAACTTCTACCTGTGAGATGCCAGCAGCCAGTGGCTGTTTAGACGTTGCCAAATGTCCCAGGGGCAAAAGGGGCTGGGGGTGACAAACGTCCCTCGGCTGAGAACCACCAGTCTAGAGAATGTATTAGAGAACACTCAGACAATTTAACAGCTACCATTTATTGAGCATTTATCATCTCTAATATCCATCCACACTGGTGTTACCAGGTAGGCCTTACTACCTCCATTTTATAGTTGCTGAAACTGAGGCTCAGACATTTAAAGCTATTGCCCTAAACCCTGCAGCCAGTAGGTCGGGCTTGTGATCCAGGTTGGTCTAACTCCAAAGCTCACCTAGTTCATGCTGCAACATTCTCTGTCTGGAAAATTGAGGGTTTTTTTTTTTTTTTTTCCGTCAAGGTCACTCTTCTCACACCAACTCAAGTCCAAACATAATTTTTGAGACGGCCTGAGAATTTGCAAGAGAGATCTACGATGTTGCTCCTGTCTAGGAGTGCTGAGGACCAATGTCACCAGAGGAGGGTGGCCATGGTTCTTAGAACTTGGTGAAAGAAAAAAAATGATCTAGTCCCACCTGGGGCCAAAACGAGCCCTTCTAGAGACAGAACTCTGAACGGGATGCCCTTCATGTATGATTGTTAAATGTGACCTTGTGTTGTCAATTCTGAGAATACAGAAGTTCACAGGGTCTACCGCCACGCATCCTAGGAGAAACATCAACTCTCTTGGCTTGGGGTGGGTTGTGGGTGGCTTCGAGCCAACCACTCCGTCATCTTCTTTTTGGCTCTCTGCAGGAATTCTACTTTTCCTCTTTCCCTTCGCATGGCGGTGTACTCATAGGCTTTGAGCTTACTGTAATAATCAGAGAATTTGTTGTAGAGGATGGAAATCGGCATCCCATTGAGGATAATCCCAAAAGCAATGCAGAGGAAGGCGAAAAACCTGCCCAGGATGGTCTCTGGGTACATGTCTCCATATCCCACAGTGGAGATGCTCACCTGCACAGGAAGCAGAGTGGGAGAGAACAGTTAGTACTGTGATGGAGGAGACAGGGAGAGAACAGGGCAGGAAAGTGTCCTCTGTCTCCCTGAAGATACACGTGAGTCATGTTAACAGCTCCCACAGAGCAAGCTTTCGGAGGTACCAGGAGGTTTGTGCATAGGACCTGCATCACAGAAAGAAGCCACTTGTGGAGCTGAAAGTTTTGGGCTTAAATCCTGGCTATTGTGAGTGTTCTTATACACGGTATGGAGGAGATCACAGCTGCTTTATAGGGTTGTGAAGAGCATGTAAGATACCTTGTGTGCAGTTCCTCATGTAGCACGGGCTCAATAAATGGTCTCTGCCCCCCACCCCCTCAGAGGGGCAAGCTTTGGAATTGGGGGCCCTGGGTTTGCCTATGTGGTATGCAGTTCAGGATGAGCTTTGGCTTAGAACCAGTCAGACACGGGTCCAAGTCCTAACTTTGACCTTTCCCCTCTGACTACCCATGGGTAGAACAGTCTCTAAGCCTTGGTTTCTTCATCTGGAACAGGAGGATAGGGGCACCTGGGTGGCTCTGTTGGTTGAGCATCTGACTTCGGCTCAGGTCACGATCTCGCGGTTCCTGAGTTCGAGCTCTACTTCAGGCTCACTGCTACCAGTGCAGAGCCCACTTAGGATTCTCTGTTTCTCTCTCTTTCTGCCTCTACCTCACTTGCATGCTCTCAGAAACAAACCTTCAAAAAAATAAAATGGGATAATCCCTAACTCTTAAGATTTTCCTGAGGATTAAATAAGAAAAGGACTATCGAGCACTTAACACAGTGTCAGGCACATAAAAGCCATTCAACACCCTCCTCTGTTGGGTTTCTGTCATCTTTAAAATGGAGAGAATTATAATACTTCTCAGAGTGACTGTGTCGTTCAAATGAGATACTGTATACGAAGGTGCTTTAATTGCAAATGTCTGGAGAAACACTCTCATTATTTTGCAAAAGTGCTTTTGTGTAAAACATCACAAACCAAAAATATGTTCTCCCTGCATGAAATTTTTCCCATCACTCTTGCACACTGCTTTAAATTCCACTAATTAGAGATTTATTTAGGTTAACAAGCTTCTGTTTTAAAATGCAGATACCCATGGGACTAGTTATCAGTCAGTGTAGTCAGAGAAAATCTGGGAAAATCTCTGGGGGCCTGTTTTTTAAGCCTCATGTACTGAGCCTCTCTCTGGTCCCCTGACTATTGGCTAAATTACTAGAAGCCTTTTAGGCAGGGCTGTTGCTTAGTTGAAAAAAACTCCATTGCACAACTCCAGGGGACCCTGTTGACTTCATCGATTTGTGGTGTTGCCACGATTTTCTGGCAGATGGTAGTAAAACGTAAAGCCAGCCTGTTGACCCACGCTAGGACAGTGTTTAGTTTAGTGATGTAAACATTTTTGGTTTGATGATGTAAGGGTTAGCCTGAACTTAGGACAGGTTGACCGATTAGTTGGAAAGGAATGGAGAAGTGGGCCAGCTGGGGAAATATGGTGGAGCTAATAAGAACCACAGCTTCCTCCAGACCGTACAAAGTGAAAGCTTGACCTCCTCTTTGGGGTAGGTGATAGACCAACTCTCACTGCTCTATCTCCAGTGAGACCCACTGAAGGTGGGCCGCCCCTTCCCAAGGGGGAAGAATACAAGCACACATCTAAGGGAGGCAGGCTAGTCTGGATTCCCTTAAGGAAATAGAGATGGCATGAGGCTATGGGGCTCAGAATCCACCTCCCAGCTGAGTGTAGACCAATGGGCTGTGGAAACAGGCTCCTGACTGACACGTGTTGAACGGGAGGGAGAAAGGATGGTTGATGCTCTGGCTCCAGGAGAGAATCTCCTTTTCCAACTTTTTGTACCAAAGGGTGACAAGAGGCAGTGGTCGAGTGAAATCGTGGGTGAATCTCAAAGTGTGTGTACATGTGTATGTGTACACATGAGTGCCCCGTAACTGGCCACAGATTCAGTAAAGGAATCTGAGTCAGGTCTCTGTCCAGGTACATGAACTGAACCATGACTTTCATAGATCATTAACCGCAGCCCTCATACCTCTGTAAGAATGTTGGGTCTCTCAGTCTACTTGCCCTGGAGGAGGCCGACAGGGCACCTGGGGGAAGGGCTGAGTGACCAGAAAGGGTAGTTCAGGACAAGACACATCCATGAAAGGTTAAAGCAGAGGCTTTGAGGGTGCAAGATAATGGGTATGGGGTTAGGAGGACACAGAGGAAGATAATTGAGACAAAGTGCCCATTTTTTTTCATTTATATATATATTTTTTAAGTTTGAGGGAGAGCATGGGCAGGGCAGGGGCAGAGAAAGAGGGTGAGAGAGAATCCCAAGCAGGCTGCGTGGTGTCAGCATGGAGCCCATCGTGGGGATCAAACTCATGAACCCTAAGATCATGACCTGAGCTGAGATCCACAGTTGGATGCCTAACCGACTGAGCCACACAGGCACCTATCTTAAACTTCTGATCCATCCCCCACCCTGGCTTTCTTGCACTCCCAACCTCAACTTCAATTTTTTTTTTTTTTGGCTGAACTTTGAGTGAAGAGTCAAAAGCAAAGAGAATTGGCTTAAGGGAGATTAAATATTTGATGTGCATAATATGATAAAATATTTTTGTGTATCTTGGATCTCTATTTTTAGAGAAAAGATCTCTTCTGCTCAGAGGCCCTGTATGACTAGTCCTTGAAGAATTTGTTCAGAATGCATAGCGAATCTTTGTACTGTCTATTTTGCGGACAGTTGGACTGAGCCAATGACCTGGTTCTTGCTTCTTAGCTCCAAGAGGAATGCAGAATTTCTTGGCACTGGGGGACTTCTCTCCATGTTCCTCAGACCAAACCCATTGCTCCCTGAATGAATATTAAAAATTGAAGGCCCTAGACTGACCCATACCATCTCACAGTGAGTTCTCCCATAAGCAGAAGTTGCGTTTGGAAATGTGACCAACATTCCAGCAATCTATCTTTGATTCCTGAAAACACTGGCTAGCTCAGCCCCTCTGTAAACTGGAAACTTACCAATGGAAGGCTTCCATATTTCCCCCTAGCCTTTGGGTCCCAAAAGCGAGAATATGACCTTCCCCCAGGGGTGCACCCACTAATTAGCAAATCCTGGCCTCCTGAAACATTACAAGGAAGACAAGCATCCAGTTTTTCTCTGAAACTTTAGAACAGCTACACTAGAATCTCTCCTTCAACAAGGAATGCTTGTTTCCTTTATAATGAAGGAGGCATAGATTAAATCTTGGCACCCGGTAATCCAGGCATCTAGGAATTAGGATCCTGGGGAACAAAACTGATTTTTTAAAATAATGAACACCCCTTTTAGTGTTCCCAAGCACTACTTGGAGGTAGTGAAGACTAATGGTTCCTGGCTAAAAATAATACATACCTCAATGCTTGGTGACCTTGAAAGAATTTAGTTCAAAGGCTACACAGAGTCTATCCATGGTGCTGTTGCTACAGATATTTTAGGAATTCCTCTTTGGATTATAATCTGCACAGAGGATTCAGTAGCATGACCTTGAAACATGTGGTCTTAGCCACCTGGAGGGTTAAGTCTAGATGCCAATCTTAGACTCAAGGGTCTCAATGCTCTTTTAAAGTACTGAATTCACCTTCAAAAAGGTGAAGATCTGGCACCATGACAAAGAAGTAAATGGACACGTCCCCAGTCTGTGGAGATAACGCCTCAGTGGAATTCAAACAACGTTTTGATGTGTGGAAGCATTGTTAGAATGAGGTCATGGGTGAGGGGAGGGCCTTGGAGAGAACCGCCAGCCTTGTCTGTCCACTGAGGTCCTGACACGTATGTCAATTGTACAGTAAGGAGGAAGTGGGCGAAAAGCTAGGGCAAATCTGGGATCTATTCGTGTCGTGATAGAAAGGTACACAATGATGCTGGCGTCCTCCACATCCTCAGTTTACTTGGTACTTTTCCCTGCCCTCTACGACTCCATCGTGTCCCATTCAAGTCCTACTGGCCCCCAGGAGGATCAAAGTTGAAAGACCTGATAAGGAGGGGACCACCCGAGAGTCAGGAGTCCACAAGCACAAGTCCTAAAAGTGCCTCACAGCCTTGGCCCCATTGACTACGGCCCTTCCTGTGCTCTTTCTGAAGCTGCTAGAACGCCGCCTCCTTTTAGTGCTGCTCGTGCCAGACATGTACCCACTGTCTCTCAGTCCCAGGCACGACAGACACCCCTCTGCACTCCTTCCCATAGTCCTGCTGCTTGGGAGTCCGCAAATGACATTTCCCAGACTCCCTTGCTCGCTGTTTTCTGCTGTGCTCTGCTAGTGAGACGGTGTTGGGGCACTGGAGGCGGGTGAGGAGATAAGGGTCTCTATTCCTGCTTCTGGTTTCTGTCCTCATGATCCAATACAGCAGAGAGCTGTCACTCATGCATCTTTGAGCACATGGGACATGATTCTCATGGGTTCATCCTAGGAGGCCCTGCCAAAGCGCCTCAGTGCTCCTCCTCTGTTCTTCCAGGTTCTAGGAACTCTACTTACTACTTGCTCGCTCAGTTCTAGGGCTGACAGCTAGGTGATGCGGTAGCCACGCTTTGCATTATCTTGGTGGCCTTTGTTGTTCCAGCCTTCTAACATCTGTGTATCTGTAACCCCGTATCAAATTCCATCTGTTTCAAACATCCACTGTCCTTGGTTTCTTTGTTTTCCTGATTGTAACTTGACCGATTCACCTTCCAAACTGGACTTCTTGAAAGCCAGCCATCACTCGGCAAAAAGAAATCTCACCGACCTTGTAAACAGGGCCACCTATCCGCAAGGAAATGACAACGTACTTGGGGAAGACAGAGAGGAGCAAGGTCTCTGGTATAATTATCTGCTCCCTCGGCTTGAGCTACTTTTTCTTTTTGAAGAGTTTTTGTTAGCCTTTGAAGGAATGAGTTCATGGCATGGTTTCCTGTTCGGTGTCTCCAGCTTTAACTCCCTCTTGAAGCTCGGAAA